GAGTTATGGCAACTGTACAATGAAAGCATAAGAGTTCCTGACACATGGTCAGGTGCCTTTGTTGAACCTGATGAGAATTTATAATGAACATCATGCCCAGTACTGATGGGTTGTGACAACAACCATATTGAAAATATACTGCCTCTGCCTTGTTAAGAGTATAGGAATCATATCAGGGATTCCTTCCACATGTTGACACAGACCCAGCACAGGAAGCTGAGATGTCAGCTGGGACCCTGGACTCTCACAGTAATGTAAATATCAAACATAAGCCATGGCTTAACCAACATTTTTCACTTACAAGGGGTGAAGTGTCAGCATCTGAAACTCAAGCAGACAGGTCCTTAAAACTGTTGATCTTATAGGAGAGAGAAGTATTGGATGCAGAGAGGATTACAACAGTGGAAGCAAACACTTGCCCTTGTGAATTCATATGAACTATATTTAGAATTTAAATCCGAGCATAATTAAACAGTGCTAATGAGACAGAGGGACTTATCTTCATTTGGTGTATAACTGGTATCACTGATTTCCTCATTCATTCTTTCCTAGTTTTAAAGCCTTCTTGTTCCAGTGAGATTAGATGGTAAAAGATACCCTGCAGAGAGAAAGTATGTGGCCTGGAGCTAAAATTCAGTTGGAAGCCTTTTAAAGGATGCTGCTTTCTTGATAGTATCAGTAACTGACAACAAAGACACCTGTGAGCATGTAGCCAGCAGTCAAGTAACACACTATTTTTGCAGTGCACCCTTGAAAAAATGCACACAATATTACAAAGACCATAATGGGAAAGAAAAGTCCACCCTTTCCAGTGAGGGAAACAAAACACTGTAAGAGTTTTAATAGTTGTAGGTATATAATCTACCACTATCAACTGAAGTTTGAATTCCTTCTCAAGAATATGCTCCAACTCATCCAGGAATGTGAAGCTTCCATAGAAACTCAAGGTTACATTTTGCTGTGGGCAGGTCTGGGTGGAAGATGGTAATGATCTTGTCCAACTTTAGCAGCTCTGAGCCCATAGCCAGAGCAGCAGCCTCTGTTACAGCTCTGTGCCAACAGCTGATTATATTGCTGAGCAGAGGACAACAACTACCTGTAGCTGCAGGGACTGGACCCTGTTTGACCTGGTCAAAGCCAGTAAGGAAGTGCAATAGGCAAAGTCAAGTCACCAAAGTCCCATTTTTGCTTTTCAGTTGTGTCTTTGGTTGGACTCAGGCTCTTTTTTATTATGCCTTAAATAGATACAATTTGTTGGAGGTTTTATTCCACATCTGTTGCGGCAAACAGCAGCATAATCAGCTGTTTCCTAAGAGGTGGCACAGTAATGACTATGACTGTGCATTTCAGTGCTGCCATGCATGCCAGGGTGCTTGTGCTTATTGGCTCACAAGAGTGCTCAGAAGCATCATTCAGTCAAGACTTTGCTGTGCATCACATCCTAGTGGAAGTGCCTGCAGCCAGCTGGAATCTGCTCTCAATGACTGCCTGTAAAGATTCTCCAAACCCTCCTCCCTCCAAAGTGACCACCACTAACCAAATGCCTGTCCACCCACTGAGCCAAGCCAGTTTAAAGAGGAGCACTACAGTGTCTGTGAGCAAGCTCTGCTGGATATGAAGAGGATAGAGTGAGACGAATCCCACAAAACAGCAAATATTTTTCATCTTACTCCACTAATTCAGCACAGGCTTATTCTTTGGGTTGCTAAACACAAGACTTTGTTTTGTTCTTTTCTGGAAGGGAATTTGAACACTTCCCTGCTAAGACTGCTATGCAGATTAATCTGAGACATAGGAATTATTACAAGTATTTGGTCTCAAATTCCCTTTGCACAATTTCACTCGACCACTGACTATATCACGCTCTGTAAATACCCTTCACTCTTTTGGAGGCTGCCTCTCTTGACCACTTAGAGCCCCGTTGTTGTTCCATAAGTTGAGATTTGCAGCCAGTTTTCCCATTCACCACTGCCTAGCTGAGCTGTTCAGTCAGCCCTCTGGCTACTCATTCATAGTCAATAATACTGGGTTTAACTTTTCAGAGGAACAGATTGTTTTAGAAGTTTTTCTGCACCCCAAAAAACATCTTCATCTGCTTACATATTTCACAGAATGTCATGTCTGCTCTTGCTGCTTTTTCACAGTCATAGTCCAAGTGTTCAAGCTCTTACCTTTGCCTTGTGGTTGAACAGCAATGAGAAACACCATTGGTTAACCAGAGCTGAGAGCAGCAACAAGTACAGCTGCTCCACTTGTGAAGAGTCTGGAGCCATAACCACTTGTCCCTTGAGCCCAGCTAAAAAGATGCCCTTTCTCAAAAGAAGGATTTCTTTCTGACTGAGCTGTGAAAAAGAGGTCCTGACTGGCTACAGCCATAAAAAAATCCCATGGCTCTCAATGTATCAGAGACTGAAGTCTTAGCAAATTTGAGAAGTCTTATCACTGCTTTCTGCTGCCTTATACATAATTTTCAATTATATTCCATTTTAACCATCTTAGCTTAACTGCTGAGGAGTCCCACTGTCAGGATTAAACAGATGTTTTATTTCCTGTCAAAGGTGGGTAAAATAATAATCACCAGCTCTGCCTCATTGGCTGCCATGTGGTCTGGAAAGGAGCCATATGCCCAGCACTCAGACTGCTGCAGGCAAGAGGCTGGAGGCATTATTTATTATTTGCCTAATCAATTTAAATACTGTCTTTCTTTCAGAAAGCACATTTCTAGTCTTTATAAGGAGTTATGTACAGGACTCATCAAGCACCCTCCTCTAGTGAAGTGCACCTTCTGTTTAAACAGCCACCACTCTGCTTGCACAGCACATGGGGATAGAAGCAAAGACCTTGCACTTGAAACTGCCCTGTGCTCATGAGCTGCTCTCAGCGTCGCAATCAGTTGTAGAGGTTGTTCAAACTCAGCCCTGTATGCAATAACAACACTTTTCTATTACAATTTTTGCAGAATGTCCTTGAGGACAGTGTAGTGCCTCTCCTCCAGCATGCAAATGGTGTGAGCACAAGCAAGCCGCTCGATGCTGACCTGCCTCTTGAGAACTGCTGCTGCACCTTCAGCGACAGGATGTGGGATCTCAGGTGTCAGGCATGGGGCAGCATCTCCCACCGGCTGACTCATGATCTTCTCTGCAGGCAACCCACACGTTCCACAGGAGCTGCAGGGCTCTGAGGTGAGCACGGGCTGAAGGGCAGGGTGACCAGGGTGTGCAGAGCATTCCAGGCACTGCATGTGGGTGCTGACTTGCTCTCCTTTCTCGGGAGGTCAGAGAAGTGGTTCAAAAAGCATGGGCACTCCTCATGTGAGGACGGCAAATGAGGAATCCTAGGCAAGAAGGGACTGTAGGACCCCTCTGTGGAAGAGCCAAACCGAGTGCCAAATGCAGTGATTAGTAAGGAGAAAGCCATCTGGCTTCTGTCCTTTAAACAGCTCTTTCAGCATCTCTCTTCCTATACACAAGAAAGCTCCCTGTGTTTTTAGCAGCCTTTCTAGCCTTTCTGAATCATACTACAAGGCCCCATCCACAAATGAAAGGGAGAGTACGGGGAAGAGAGAAAAAGGGGAGGAAGATGATATAGTGGGCAAGAATCTGAGATGCCTTCAGGCCTTATCTTGAAATATTACCTCTGTAGCACCAGTTATGGCACCAACCACCAAGGCAGCAAGTCCTTTATAGCTGGAGCTGGTAATGTACTTACTGAGGGATGGCGCTGAGTTGTCAGAGGCAGAAGTCTGTAGGATGACAGGTAGGCATTGCGGGGACAGGAGCAAAGGCTGATGCAAGCACTTCTGAAAATTGATGAGAGGCTGGGGAGCAGACTACACTGAAGTCCAGCAGTGTGTATCTGCAGGTAAGGATGCACGAGCTTGCTTCCGTCTGAGTGACGTATGGCAATTTCCAAGGAGCATTTGAAAAATATTTGGTTCAGTTCCTCAAAGTTTTTAATATTTCACCCTGAATTTTTCAGTCTTCCTGTCCCTTTATGATGTGTACTTTTAGGCTAAAAATATTCAGAAGCACAATGCAATCCATAAGTACATTATTTCTGTTACTTTTTTTGTAGTTAGGAATGAAAATGGCCAAGAACTGGGTTAGGAACAGTAAGTTCCTTTTCATTATTAAACAGTTAGTGCCCAGGGAGCAAGTGTGGTTTTGGGTTGTGAGGTTTTTTTCAGTCTTCTCTCTGAATAGGTGTTACTGGTAAAATGAGTAAGAAATCTGTTTCAAATAAAAATGCAACCTTGGAAAAAAGGCAACTTTTTCACAAAGTCATTTCTTTCCAGTGCCCAGCATGTTATTTGGCAATACTAAGATTTCCAGTTGGTTTTTATTTTCTTAGAAGTTGTGGTTGCTCTCTTAAAGGATTTTACCCAAGTACTGTTATATGTAACAAAAACATACCCTATTGTCAGACTTCTGAGCCTTAGTAAGGCAGTGTCAGTGCCTGGGACCAATCTTGTTCTGTTTCATGTGAACACATATTTACCTGAGGGAATAAACAGTATTGTGAAATAGCTTCTCATATCTTACAGTTCTACCTTTTAGCATCATCGCTGATAAAACTTGACTGATACCTAGTAACTCTTAATACTGAGCTTCTGTTTGTAAAAATTGCAACTTCTGTTTACAAGTTCTAATGTTTCTCTGATCTAGCTTCAGTTCCCAGATTCTTTTCCTAATTTGTGTAACCACTAGCATGCACACAGCTCCAAACTCATAAAAGGGGTACTTGGAACACCAGGATGGGAGGTTTAAAATCTTCAGTTTATTCTTATTTTGAAGACTCACTAAACAAAATTTCAGGGGAAGTCAACTTGAAGGATAAGGGTGAGATTTGTAGCAAGATGGTCACTGCTCTGTCTTAGCTACTGAATTGTCTGTATTCTTTCTCTGTACAGTACCAACAACTGGAAACTCCTTCTCTTATGCCAGTTGAAAATGTAGTGGTGTTTGCTGACAATTTACTATTTGTGTCTATCATTCATTTAGGAGCAAGAACACTGAGATGAACTGTTTGTTGATGCAAGCTGCCAGCAGAGGATGTGGCTGATGAACTGTGAGGGCCGGGAAGAGATGTCTCCAGGGAGCAGGCCCCGGGCAGTGCTATGTCTGCACATGAGAAGGTCCAGAGGAGTCGACCCTCAGTGAGACCCATTACATCCAGTGCCCCTGATCAAACACAAAGCTCATAGCTCTGCATTGCTTTTGCTAATACTATAATCATCCATTGCAGGCTTTTCTTACATAACCAGCATAGGTCTATGTTGACTACCAGCTTTGCAGTTTGAGTTCACTCATGCTTCCTATTTTTTTTAGCTTCTGTTGGAGTTTCACAGCTCACCTAACCTGCAAGGGCCATGAACAAAGTACATGAATATGCACCGCTTGCTGGCAGAGCAAACAATCCTCTCAGACAACAGGATTGTTATTAAAACGCGTTGTTTTGTTGGCAGAATAGGCTGTTGCCAGGGGTTGCCCAAGGTGAGCCTGACCTCTGTGGTCTCTGAAGCTCTCTCTTGTGGGTGAGCTGAGCAATGCTGGAATGTAGCATTTAAGGTGGATTAACTGTGAACCTAACACAGGAAACAGTTCAGAGAGAGTAAAAGTATTACATTGCACAATTAAGGATAAAACATAGCTTTTGATCCCATAGGACACAAGTTCCAAGGCTGAGAACAGGATTATTTGATGAGAATCACAGTCATCTTGTCAGTGCAGAGTAATGTTTGCAGCCTCCAGAATTCTGCCTTTCCAGGTGCAAGAGCAGTGGAGAGACAGGCTTGGCCAGTGGACAGAGATGGGTCTGCATTCTCCCACTGTGAGTACAGTAACAAAACCATGCACCCCACCTCACCCCTTCCACCCACAACAGGTCCCCACCTGTCAGGTCTGTCGACTTTGAACTCTTAAAATCTTGAAGCAGTTTCACGTGTATCATAACACAAACCCTGCACTTTGGCACTAACTTCAGCTGAAATAATTTGCACAGACTGGTCCTAAGAAACACCATCCACCCAAGTGAAATTCTGAATTGCTAGCTGCACCCTCACAACATAATGTATTCATAGGCCTAGGGATCAACATGAATTGGGGTTTCTGGAAAAGGATGTATCTGTTCCTTGCTCAGGTCACTAGCTCTCTAGCCACCATCTACAGATCCCTTCGATATTCTGTAAAAGGGCAGATCACTACCCTTTAACTCTTTCACCAGGGCTGCAGGGCAGAACTGCTGGAGGTTCACCTGAGCTAAATGGAATTTCCTGTTTGATTGAGGCCAGTGGTTTGTTTGGTTTCAGGGCTTTTTGAAGTTAGTTCTTGCACCTTAAGTATTCCACTTTAAAACTGTGCTATAGCAGGTGTTGGCTCTCTGTTACACTGCAGCTAAAAAACAGTTTCTACCACAGATTTTACAGGCAAATCAGTCTGAAGATTTTTGTTTTCTGAGCTAAACTACCATTTCTTAGCTAGTTATTACTGGAAGGCACAGCACAGTGCATGACACTGTGCTGGGCTGCACAAATATGTGTTAAGCCTTGGACTACCATGAAGAACGTACAGAGTAGGATTACAAGCATGATTTAGTTATGAACTACAGACACCTGAAAATGAAGGAACACTTTTGCAGTCTGATTCTTGCCTACCATTACAGGATTCAAATCTAAAATGCAACAGATTCTGAACTTGGTGCCAATGAGGCCTCCATGTTATGGAGTGATTGTGAATACATTTATCTGACTAGTACAGACAAAGCCTGGACATAATTGAGGAAAGCAGAACTCCACACTCAAACATCCCTGATCCTTATCCTGCCCCCTTCAACTTAATTCCATAATCAGCACTTACATCACAGAGGGTTTGGAAATATTATCCAAACCTCTCCTTCAACATCACACTATCTCAAACGAGTCCCTGCCTGTAAAGATCTGCTTTCTTCAAAACTTTTACCCAGCCCCATGGTTAGCTTGGCTTAAGTCAGCAAACACTCAGCAAAACTGGAACTTGAAAATAGCTTAAGCTCAGCCCCTTTCTGCCTTCAGATCAGTTGGTTTTACAGTTCTCAAGCATCATCATTCAGCATCCAGCTGGCATCCATTTGACTACAGTTGCTGCTGGAGGAGTGGGAACCAACCATCATCGTTGCTGAGTTTTCTCCTGTAAATTCAGCCAAAAGAAACTGGTGCACGCCATCTCGTGGCCCTGCACAGCTATTTCCCGGGAACGAATTGAGCTCCAACTGTGACAGGGAGGTTTAATGTGGACAGGATTTAAAAGATGGCTGTCAGGGGCTCAGAAACAGCCCACTACATGACCACACCGTAGCTATGAAACTTCCAGCGTTAGCACTTTGTCCACACTGCTGCCATGACCTTGGAGCCTGAGCAGCTGGTTCCTGGAGCAGCAGCAGAGCATCAAGCTGCAAAAAGCACCTCTTCAGCATGTGCTCACACACTGTTGAGACAGCCCTGCCCTCACAACAAATACAGGTACAGTGAACACCACAGCCTCCAGAACAGGCTTTGGAGGAGCAGGAAATTACCTTATGCATTTTAAAGTAGGTCATACACATTAATCATTCTTGATTACATGCAAGGTTAGGAATGTTCATGGTACATCTGTCTTCATCTGCTCTCAGTACCTGTCAAAGAACTCCATGTGTCAATGCTTTAAATAAAGCTAATGTGTCTCTTCCTAACTGTTCATTAACAGCTGAATACACAAACTCATGGAAACAAGGTTACAGCAGCTGTCAGTCCCTTGGTGTATCCTAAGTTCCTATTTCTTCTTACTCTCTTTTTTTCTTTCAGAGAAACAAGTCATTAAGAGACCCTTTGCCAGAAGTGATTAAGGTATGACTTCAGTAACTCTAATTCAGAGAATTAAAAAAAAACAGGGACAGAGTGCAATTCTGTGAATTTAAAAGTCTTTGCTTCTATTTTAAGTAGTAAGTTTTTGACTTCTCAATGTTTAGGACTTTTTAGCTGGGAGATTACATCTTAAATCTGCACCACTCAATCATCTCCAAATTTGAAGTCACATTATCTTTAGCAGAATTGCTGATGGCAACACTTAAACACTGTCTTACTTCCACTGCTCTCACAGCTATCAAAAGGCGGGATATATTGTCAGCAACAAGGGACTTAAAATAGCTACAGAAGGGCAAAACTTCAGACTAAGCATCTTATTTTGCCTGCTACTAGAGACAACTGCACAAGACCTATGAAAGTTTGCAGCTTGCTGCTGGAAAGCACAGAATCATACCGGATAACTTCAGATGTTACTCCAGAGGACACTGTGCCATACTGTAAGAACAAAAGCAACTACCCAAGGATTATAGTTCAAAGCATCTGATTACAATCAGCAATTGTTCTGAATTTGTTGTGTGATGAAAATTCTACTTTTACTGTTCTTGGGTTGGAATTGTGTAACGATGTTGCAGAGAAGACTGTCGGACCTGTGAGACTCAATGAAGCCTGCTACAGTTGCTTTGTATAAAGGAAAGAAAAGGGAGCATCCTTCTTCTCATGTCAAGGTTTAATTCTGAGGTACGTGACACTGGATTTACAAAGGTAAATAAAAATACATTCTGAGAAATAGCGAGTGCCCTATTTAGCAAGGCAGAGGGATTTCACACTCCAAGCAGCTGAGAAAAGAAACTGCTCACAGTATGAAAAAAGTATTAAGGGTCTGACTTTGACAGGATTTTGCCACAACAGGTGATGAGGAATGTGCAGTAGTGGGGCAGACGAAAGACAAATACTTAAGTGATAAAGATGAGACAGGACAACAGGTATTAGATAAGGCTTCCACGTGAATTAACTGAAACAATATTATTATGATCAGGAACTACTATTCCAAACACTGATCAGGCAAACTACATTGCCAAAATGAATTACACAGCTGTTGAGACAGGCTTTAAGTCCAGCCTGATGATGATATGGCTAAGGTTGCATGTGCTTGTAGCAAACATATATAAATGAAATCCCAGTAATATAGAAGGACTGGAGTGGTACAGAAGAGTTTTCCACATCAACTGCACCTCGTATCAGGAGCAAAGGCTACCACCTGGAGTACAGTGCACACAACAGTTTATACAAGTGTATCAATCATCTACAGTTAATGTACAACTTTCATCCTAAATATCAGTTTAAAAAAGCCAAGTATGAATCACATGCAGGCAGATTTCATGACTCATTGCTGCAATGGATTTAACCACAAGGGCTGATCCTGCCTACCATTAAGATGCCTGGCATTCCATCTTGGACTCATTCCTCTGGAGGGGAGCCCTTTCACAGATCTGTGCTAGAGAGAAATGAGCCAAAAACAGTTAAATGAGACTTTGGAAATTTAAAAAAAAAAGTGATATTTTGTCACACAAAGAATAAAATTCCAGGAATTTATTGCTGTACGTATGCTTAAACCATTAATTCATCTTACAGTAGTCATGAAGTGCCAAATTGTGTGCTACATTTAACATTCCATGTATTCCCTTCCAAAGGCCATTTTACAGTGGGCATATGAAAAAATGCAGCAGCAGTCACAAAACATGGCTGGAGCATCTCTCAGGAGCTTAAAGACAAAGATTTGTGTACAAGCTGAATAACGAGATGTCAGTTAACAGGTCACTCAGCAACTTTAATAGAAATATCTTTAGGTGGAAGTTTTGCAGTGTTAAAATTTACAACTCAGATGAAACATTCTCATCCCACTGTGGTAAAAAGATACTTGCAAAGAACAAGAACTATGGTACGTAAATGTCACACGCAAGACCCGCTTCATTTCTATCAGAAGCAAAATTGCTAATTATAAGGAAGGACAAGCCTAGCAGGGTAAGGCTGTCAGCCTATAGTAAAAACATACACCTCCGAGTTTGGCAGTAGAATTCTATTTACCACCTTGACTTTTTTTTTTTTGTTTTTTGGTAACATACAAGTACTCTTCCTCCCCTCCCACACTTTATAAATCCCCTTTTATTTTTATTATACCTCCATATTATTTACAGGACTCCTAAAGATTAAGTACAAACTAGTATGAAATTAATGATAGCTTGCTTTTCAAATATGTATCCCATGGCTAAATAAATACCAAGCCAATTCAACACAGTGATCTGGAGTTACGATTCAGAAGCTTGTATATCTGTGACTCCAGTTGTTTTCTCATTAGCTGTGGAGGATTCATTTGATCTGTCAACAATAGCTGCCACAGAAGTTGGAGCAGCGCTATCCAAGGTGAGCGTGGAGGTCTGTTCTACATTTACAGTAGTGCCAGGGTTGACGGAAAAGCTTCCAGCTTGACTGATAGAGGGAAGCAAATCTGTAGGCACTGCAGATGCCTCTGTGACCAAAGGAAGCACAGGGACACACTTGGGTGGCATGGATAGAGGTGTCATTCCCATTAGATTCAGAGGCGGCAAGGAGGGAAGGGGTGGCAAACCTGAAAAGAAAAACACGGGGGGAAAAAAGGCAGTGAGATGCTGCATATCACAGACAGATTTGGGAGACGCTGTTTGCTTAAAAAATTTTACCTTCTCTAGGCTCCTATTTACCTGTGAAGAGGAGAAAGCTTTCTGAACTTAGCATGAGCATGATATGTGTGCAGCACTGACTCAGCAGGCTCGTTTCAAGCCTGATACTTTTCAGATTTCAGAATGAATCAGAGTAAATTCAATGTTGCATGAGTAAATTCAGCATTACTTGTACCTCCTTAGAGGACCAGGTATTAATGCCTAAGTACTGATGAGTAGATTTTTCTGGCCTTCACTGAAACTGTGAGAAAAAAGAAGTTAACAAGAACCATATTCCATAAAAAAAATTCCAATTTCTTTTTGCTTGCTCCATGTGCACCTTCAGCAGTTTTGTTTCACTTAAAAGCGTAAATCTAGTATTAGTTCATACTTCTGGCATTGATTCAGTCAGGGAGCTCTGATCTCCACATCTAGCATACAAGGAAACACTTCATATTTTCTTCTACCCATAAAATGATATACTTTCATCTTGGTACAGTCTCTTCTGAGATCATAAATCAGGTAACAAAAAATGAAACATCTAAATACAGACACAAGTTTCGAATTAGTTTATCTAAAGACATATTCCTTGTCTACCTAATCTGGGCACTAACATCCACTCCCATCTCAGGAAAACATTTAATTTATCCCCTTCAGGACTCTCCCAGATGGCTCTAAATTGGAGTCTCAGGGATAAAGGACACTAATTAGTGTTTCAGTTTGCAGAAGCACATACCCGGCTGTATGATTTCTGGAACAATCTGTGGTGCAGGTAAATTAAGTTTGGACAGATCAGCCAGGTTAGGAAGCCCTGCTGGTAATGGCATCAGACCTAAAAAGAAAAGTTACAGCTGAAAACTTAAAATTGTTTCTGAGATCTTACTGATAATTTAAAACTTATTTTATATTGCTTTACATCTTGATTATCATTTTTCCACATTAGGATGCAAATTCACCTGAATTTCAGCTTTTAAGCTGCACAGTGAAAACAGATACCTATTGCAGAAAGTCTGTACATGAAAATACATAATCCAAAACTTTTCATATTTTTTTTCTGAGGAAAGCAGATTCTTATTTCAAGGAATTAGAAGGTTTGCATTCCAGGATCAGCTTTCAGTAAAGGTAATTGTTTCCCCACAGCACTGAACCAGAAGCCCTCCATTCCCAGTTTGAATGGCAGACAATAATAATAGCATTAAATACACAGTATTCCCTGATCCCTAATATTGATTACTGTAATATTAGTCTTTTCTACTTATTTCATAACTAGATATAAACACTAAAATATATGTAAAAAGGCAAGACAAAGTAACTTTCAAAGTCAGGAAGCACTGAAAGTAGAAGAGAAACACATGATGAATGCAACACATGCCCTTCTATCACTGTATTTGCTATGGAACATCTTTCTGCTTCTGAATTTCCCATCTTAGAAGAGCTGCATTTCTGGGACAAGGACTCTATTCTTACTTTTTAAGTTTAGTTGAAAGAAGGCTAATTCAGAAATAAACTGCTGGTACTACAGTATTAAGACAGAGAGGAGAAAAGTCTTAAAGCAAGGGCACTGTATAGAGATTTTGACTAAAACCCACTCTACCTACCCATGAATTCATTAGCCATGAAGGCTGACAATCTGACTCAGAGCCTTCAGCTCAGCCACAGGCAACTTTGGTTTGAACTTTTTTTAAAATCTGAAAAAAGCTGAACTTCATATGATCAAATTTTAAACCTCTTGTATATTTATATGCCCATGCAAATTACAAGACATATTCTAATTCGCTTTCAAAAAAGCAGAGACACTGTTCAGAGAAAAAGGTGAAAGGAAATCTTGTGTTTGCAAATTTTAGGGAAGGGTGGATAGGTGGCCGGAGAAGAAAAGGACATTAATCTTTATCCGCTTAGAGATAATAGCAAACTACTACGAAGTTCAGCTTCTGGTAAAGTTCTCTGCCCTTGTTTGGATGCACTGAGCTCTACTACCTGTCTTTTCTATGTTAGATAACATAACCCCAGGCATTTCTTAAAACTTTTGGGGACATCTTTATCTACTTGTCTCATAGTATGCAAAACATAAAATACAACTCTTTCAGTGTTCTGGAATGCACGGGTGATCCTACACCAGCACACCAATGACACAGCAAAATTCTATACAATTCTTATTTTACCCTTTGTAAATCTGGAATACTAGTGCTTGAAATGTTCATGATTATCAGGAAACAACCATTTTGCAGACAGACTCTTAGTTTCATTACACATGTTTAAATTTAATTATATGATGTTTACTACACCATATAATTCAGAAACAGTAACAGCAACATAAATTTTATATTTTTAGTCCTTTATTTTTATTAGGAAGAGCAACCAAGCTGAGTATTAAAAAGCAGTTTCCTAAAATGGAGATTTTATGGGTGAAGGGAATGCAGAAATAGGCAAGACAAACCTTCTCAGACCTCTGATGTCTGAGTGCAAAGGACACACTGAAAACTGCATCTATTTGCAAAAGTATTTTGCAATATATAACTTATGAAGTACGGAAAGTAACAATATATCAACTCAAATGTTGCAAATAGTAAAGCAAAACCTTTCTGGGAAATCGGGAATGCTGCATCAACTGCGCAGGGGGCCTAAAAGGTAAACATTGTAAACTTTGTTGCCACGTCAGTCCTCTGTGCTACAGACATGCTGGGAACATACTGTAACAAAAATAATTCTTCACACTGCACAGCTTGTATAGAGATCTTTAACATGAACTATGTAAGTTGTATGAAGTTATACCTTCCCCAAACAGCAGTGGAAAAGGCAGCTGTCTTAAAATTTTTGTTTCATAAATGTTTTAAGAAATGTTACCTACTCACCTGGTAGCGTAGTTGCTGTGTTAACCGGTGGCACAGAGGTAAGGGACTGACTGACTTGTGGTGGTAACAATGGAACTGTTGGAACACCTGGTGGAGCACACAAGGAAACAATATTAATTTTAAGCACACAACATTTCAGCTCCCGTCCTCAAGAAATACAAATAAATAATCATTTACTATTTGCCTTAACTATAAAATGCAGATGAAGAAAAACAGTACTCTAAATAATACACATGGCATTTCTGATAGAAGTCATTTGCAACCATTCTGTGAGCAAGTAAGGCATAATTCCAGTACTCTAGCCTTTGTTGTTGAGAAAAGTTTAAGAGAAAATATTTGCCCCTCTTCTGCCTTTTATTAAATTAACCAGAAACATCTATGAATTTCAGGTCAGTTATGTCAGTACCAACCTGTGCTGAGAACATTACTGACAGTAGTTGAGGGTGAACTAATAGAAAGTCCTGAAAGACTCTGCTCAAGGCCTGCTGACCCAGGAGGGAGGTTGGCTGCGGGATTAACTGATGACAGCTGAACCTTATTGAAAGGGAAAAAAAAGGTTCCACCATTAGGGTTTGTTTCCACAAGAACTAATAGAAGCAGAAACGCAATATACCATCATAATCTAATTGTATCAAGCCAAAGGAGAGACAACAACTTACCTCTGTGAAGCCATCTTTGAGAGGACTGAGAGATGCACTGGGCAACTGTCCAGGGAGGGAAATTTTCTTTCCCTCTTCAAATGGGCGTGTAGGTATCCTATGCAAATATCCATAGCCAATGCCACATCCTAGGCTTTTAAAATATGAACATTTAGAAGTCAGTGAAGTGACTTTATAACTACAGACTACAGTAACCTACACATGAATGACTCAAGACACCAACAACTTTCAAGTTCTGTACAATCTTGCCCTCCAGCCCCAGTGTTGCCTCATTTTCTATGGAGAAGTAATCAGTACAAGACAACTGAAAGGAAACTCTGTAGCTTTTGGTAATGAACATTCAGCACAAAATAAAAGTCATTATTATTTAGACCAAGCAGCTACACCAGGCATACAGCTTGGAGCTTGACTCACTGTTGTTACTTGCAGTGCTCTGTTCTGGCAAGAACATACTACAGGCTAATGACTATTTGGAGACTAATGCAGAAATCAACCACGTCACTTTGTGTATTTCTGCACTAGCTAATTTACTGATTTACAACCCTCTTATCAGTAACTGCATCTGAATTCCAAGTACATATATAATTTATTATAGCAGAAACATCTTTGGTATAACAACACTCTTTTCCTGTATTTGTAGAAAACTTAAACCAAACAGTTTTTAGGCTGGTGCTATAAAATAGTTGCCCCATCCCTTTGTAACATATTGTCTCCTTACCTGCCTTCTCCACCCCAGGCAGAATTTGGAGTAATCACCACTTCCCGACAATTATCTGTGTCTGTGTTGTATACATAAAGTTTTAATGGCTTTGCTTCATGTGTTTCAATAAGGGAAAAGAGATCTTCAGACTGCAAAAGAGAAAAATTAATAAGGACTTTTTTCTCCTTATTTTATTATTTGACATTAGACCGATCATTCTAGTCCCAACTTTCTGTAATAGAACCTTGTAACAGAACCTTACTTAAAAATAAAAAAATTATTTTTATGTACTTACCTCATTCATGACGGTATCTGCTCCAATGATATAGTCACTATGAGGTCTAAGTCCAGCTAATGCAGCAGGAGAATTTGGCTCCACTTCCTAGTTTTAAGATGGAAAGTTACAAAACACTATGTAACTGTCAGGGTGTAGCAGAACAGTTAGATGTGCACATCACACAAGTTTTGAGTCAGACAAACTGGTCAAGTTTTCAACACAATTAGTAAGCTACTGAACCAGTGAAACAGGGGCAGTCCCTCTCGATACCGTTCTGGTACTGTACAATTGTACATACAGACCTAGTTCAAAAGTTTTCCCAAAACCCATGAAAACAGACCAGTTTGCTCTCATGACTTGTTAGCTACCTCCCTTGCAAGTTGGTTTTCAATAGTAAGATAAAAACTGTAAGCAACGGGAAGAAAAGTACTTTCAAGTCCATACGTACCAAGACATGCCAGACATTTTCATTGGCCCCATCAAAGCTGCAGAAACGAATGCTCACTCCCAGCAGGCCTTGCCCACCCCACATGTTGCTGGGAGTCACTGATGTTTCTCTCAGTTCCAGAGTTTTGCTACTGTAGACGAGCATTTTTACAGGTTTTTCAACATTTGCTTTCAACAGGTCTTTGAGAGTGTCATTGTCTTTATTCTGCGAATGTTCAAACAAGAGCTTGGGTTAGAGTCCAACAGAACAAGCATCCAGTTCCACAGCAATGCTTTTGTATTTCACAGGTGCTAAAAACACTGTGCAGTATCACAACAAGTACTATAGCTACTCTGTAACAAGTTTCCAGTCTCCTCACAATTCTAGAATACAACTATGGCAAAATCCTGGGATTTCCCAGTAATAGGTCATGCCTTCCAAACATGAAAGCACTTTAATTGAATCTGTGATAGGATGCACCTTGTAGCTTTTCAGAGGCTTGCTTGAATCCAGGCATACTGGTGAAAGACCTTTCCCACAGATGGTTTCTTCCACTGCTATGATGGGTCTGTTATTTCACTACAGCTCTGCTTGAAAGCTTTCCCCCATGCCTCCTGCCCAGCCAACAGCCTTGACAGCAGCTTTTTCAATCAACCTGTTTCAACTGACTGGAGTATGAGAGTTCTCACAGGAGCAGTTTTACAGACAGAACTAGGGGGGCACCAGCACAGTCCCCCAATGGTGGATCAGTAGGCAGTACTATCTTGTTGCACATGTCTGCAGAGAGCATGTCTGTCTGTCTGTCTGCATCCTTATTCTCCAGCTAAACTGTTGGTAGAACTGTAACTAAAGGGTGAAGGAAATTAATTTCTGATGCAGTTCGTCTTTCTAATTTTAAACTAAGGAGAAATACTTTATATGCATTTAAATAAAACAAATGCGTTGGTTTACCTACAAAAAATGGATTCTCGACACATTGTTCATGTTAAAAGTTATAAAATGGCAACACACTCACCAATCTTGAACCATTAATGGACACGATAAAATCAAAGAATGGCTCCAATCCAGCTCTATGCCCCGGTGAGTTTTCTTGTACCTAACAAAGTTAAACAGGAATTTAGTAAAAGCAGACCAATGTTGATTCTTAGATTAGAATTATATTTCTACTTGTGCCACCTGTAGTTCTAGAAGCTACTCATGTTTGTATGGATGATTTTAAAATATTCAAATATAATCTTTAGGACCAAAAAACCCCTCCCTTAAAAAAGAAAAAAAAAAAAAAAAGAAGGAAGATTTCAAAAGAATTAATGATTTACAAATTAAGGAATGACACAACAGTAGCCACTCTGGGAAAAGCACTGCTTAATAACCGCAGCAGATAAATTGTAGATTCTTGTTTCAATAAAGGAGATTATGGTCAAAGAACAAGCTTAATGAATTCTGAAAAAGTTGGTTAAAAAACACTGTCTTTCCACAGAAGTACCAACGTTGGACCTTGCTTTTTATCTTATGCTTACTAAAGGAAAAGGAGAGTCACATCTGTCTAAGCACAGGTTGTTATCTCATGATTAAACAGGACCTGCTGACATCCTGCATCTGTACAACCAGTGACTCATTAACTTACCATCAAGTTTGCAAGACAGGAGATGAGCGATTCTGCAGCCATGGCAGCTCAAACAATTCAACCACTTCACTAAGGCAAGCTGAAGTCTTGGATACACACTGCTCCCACAAGCTAAAAGTATAATTTTAATTCCAGATGGAGTAACTGAGAGACATTTTGCCAATTTTTTTCCTTATTACGTGCATTGCTGACAAGGAAAAGTAACTCCAATACGGCTGTCAGACTTTTCCTACAGACTTTTTAGTAAAGACTATCTTTCTTTACTTGTAAGCTGATTCATTTTACCCACTGGCTTTTTCTTTTATGTACTACAATCACCTACCAAAAAGATCTAAAAACTGTTACCCTTTACAGTGTATTTTCTTACATTATGTGCAATTCCAGCTGACAGAATTGGTACAAATCTGCTTGTTTGTTCAGTACCGGTCTGATTCTGGAGTAACTGAGTTTTCTGGAAGAATTGAGTTTTCTTAATATGAGTTATCTAGAACAAAATACTAAGTACTTGAGATCTTCCTGCTAAACAAAAGTTAAACAGTTTCATGAAAGGAGAGTTAAAAACCTGTGGATTCCTATGGGCATGCTCCATAATTGTAATCTCAGGCCTGCAGTTTCTGTTGCAATTAAGTCATTCAAAACATCCTCTCCTCTGATGTAGTTTTTTGAGTAGCAAACATAGGATGAGCTTATGCTGTTTGTTGCTCTTCCCTCAGTTTAGAGGGGTGACATGAAAATACTCTAATAGCCTCTTGACTTACAGGAACTTACATTTTATGTTTTTAATGAGCCTGACATAAAGGCTTTATATCAAAATTAAATCAGCAGGTGGTTTCAGAACTTCCTGGGAAAACAATTTTAAAGACACAACATGTCTTATTAAACCTCAGCATTAAAAATCAGTGAATCCAGCAAAGTGATACAATTATTCTGATAACACATCAGATTTTTATGACTGGGTACATGTCATGGCCTTGAAATTATGAAAGGCCAGACTTCATGTCATTTAGAGACTTTCCTCCATTTCCAAATGAACTTCTTGGAAAAAAAAAAGAAACAAAACCAAAACCAAACAAACAAAACACCAAACCCCAAACAAACCCCCTGTGCTCTGACACAATATCCCTCTCCTTGACCTCCAAGAGGCTGTATCCTGAACACTAAGGACCAACAGTGGCCAGTATTCAATACAGCAACCTTTTGAAATGAGACTGGGTATGTACAATAAATGAGAATTACGTATGTTCAGCATCCATCAATGTAAAGCTCACTGACACCTGGGAATATATAATTCACTCAGAATACAAAATCTGTAGTCTGCCCCAAACTGACAAAGGGACTGAGAAAGTTTCCAAGTTACAAATTATTGGTTGCAGAAACTATGTTCAGACGCCGAGCACCTTCCCCCAAATCTATCACAATCCTAAACACCTCTGCATGGTCTGTTTCTAAGTGGGTATGTAAAAACCACCAGGAAGTTGTATCTAAAAGAAATCAAGCCCTTATAGTTGTGCCAATCATACAATGCACCTCAGAAAGCAGGTAGCTGCATCCCTTTGTCATCATATTTCCTCCATGTTGCCATGCATAGGGTCAGTCACAAAAAGATTCCTATTTCCCTGGCTTGCTGGGCCTAACTTTACTGACAGAGAAGCATGTTTACACCTGGCAGTCCAGAAATGCAAACCAGAAATTCCAAGTCCACTCCACATGGAAGGTCTTCTCCTTAAAAAAGTGACATACTCAGCCCTGCATAACAACCACACTGACCCCACACAGTTTTTATGTCACACCACCTTACTTTCAGTCAGCTACCTGCACAATTCATCCATCACACAGTGCCATATGCTCAACACAGCTCTCTCCTCCAAGCTCTGGGGCCATGGTTCTCTTCTAGGACCTACAGCAACAAAGGATAACCAGGGACCTTAGAAAACACAAGGGCACAAAACCCTTATTGTTATTGAAAATAATAAAATTCCATGTACACATCCATAAACTCTGTACCTCCTGAGCAATCTGGCTTTATGCAGCTTTTCTATGTGCCCAAGTAGGTATTTAGTAACTTGCCTTTGTAATTGAGTAATTGCTGAGAAATAATCAAGTAATACCATTTACAGCAGATCCACTGCAGGCAAGATACCATCCACAGCAGTTTGGGATGCTTAATTCTCTCAAAGCCAGCTGTTATTTCAGACAGACAAGTTACAGACCCCTGTGGGTAAATGCTATAACTGTCTAACAGTACAGACAAAGAGTGGCACAGACAACATGGAGACACTGTGATGCACCACCACCACAGCTTTCTAAGAGCAAATGAAGAAAATTTCTCTCAAAGTGCCAAATATCAGAAGCCAGAAAAGGGTCTCACATAGTGCTGCAGGAATTCAGCTTCTAACCAAGAGGACAGCTGGGCTTCTGAGTACATAAATTACACACTGATTTCACTTTTAATTCACTGTCAAAAATTAAACAGGAAAAAGCTTTCAAGGTCAATACACTAATTCTACTCTGCATTACTGAAAAGACTTTTTTTTGTAAATACATGAAGTTTCTCTTTGCTGAACACTGTTCCCAACACTATCTCTCCATGCCTACACAGTACATAGTGTACATTACAAATTATAAGAAGTCTGCTCAACAGCACAGTGGTCACAAATTCAAGCCTTAAACAAACAGGGCAACCATAAATGCAATTAGGCACTGAAATCCTCATTTTCAGAGACAGGTAAAGGCTCTCACCACTTCTGAAAGTCAAATAACTTATACTAGTTTCCATTTAAACTTTCAGAAGCTTAGCTTCAAGCACAAAATACACAAATTCCAAGGAGCAGAAGCTCTGGATTTTTCTTTCTTCCCCACATAAGAAACACTTCCTAGTATTTATTAGCAAAGAAATACTGAAAGCATTTTTTGTAGTTCTTCCACCCACTCTATAACTGGCAGTAAAATTTCATTACATCTCATGTATAAGCAATTCCTGTTAAATTTGACAGAATCCATTTTATTTTCATCAGCTATTTTAACACATTACACATTGTAACTGTACTGAATTTCTTGATGGAACACCCAGTTTTCAAGAGAAAAAGCTTCCTAAGTTTTTTAGTAAGAAAACAGATTCCTTATACGTAGCATAACTTTTTATTTTATCACAGAGAATTTAACTCAAGCCTTTAAAATGTGAATCTCCCTTCAAAAAAAAAGTCCTCACTTCATGCAATATGAAGTACCAAAGTAAGAGTTAGAAATCTTAAACTTTGGGCGCTGCTGTTTGGTATCTTTCAGGGGGAACACCCCAAAACACAGTAGCATACACATCTCCCACTGATAAAAATTCTTACACAGAATCTTAGAATTATTTAAGTTGGAAAACACCTTTAAGATCATCAAGTCCAACCATTAATCCAGCACTGCCAAGTTCACCATTAAACCATAATGCCAAGTGCCACATCTACATGTTTTTTTTTTAAAAACACTTTCAGGGATGGTGACTAAACCATTTCCCTGTGCAGCCTATTCCAATGCCTGATCACCCTTACGACGATGAAGTTTTACTAAAATCCTCTTGTTCTGTCACTCATTATTGAGAGAAAAGGCCAATCCCCACCTGGTTACAACCTCTTTTCACGCAGTTGTAAAGAAAGGTAAGATCTCCTCTGAACCTCCTTTTTTCCGGACTAAACACCCCCAGCTCCCTCAGCCACTCCTCACAGGACTTGTGCTCCAGAGCTTCTCTGGATATGCTCCAGCACCTCCATGTCCTTCCTGAATTGAGAGGTCCAGAACTGCTCACAGCACTCAAGGTGCAGCATCACCAGTGCTGAGTACGGGGGGACAATCACTGCCCTCCCTGGTCCTGCTGGCCACACTGCTGCTGATCCAGGCCAGGATGCCCTTGGCCCTCTTGGTCACCTGGGCACAGGCTAGCTCACATTCATCCAGCTCTTGAACAGCACCCCCAGGTCCTTTTCTGCTGGGCAGGTTTCCAGTCACTCTGCCCCCAGCCATGGGGTTGCTGTGACACCATCTATTAGCTGAAGAAACTGTCAGGTCATTACAATAGCCTGAGCAAACTACAGCAGTTTTACACTGCTGAACAAGAAAATTATTCAAAGTTTTCCTTCATTGTGTCTTAAAGAGCAGAAACAAATGCATACTGAGCCATATGCAGAGTCAGGCAGTTGCTCTAATGAGTCACACACCTTATGTTAAAGGAAGCTTATGCAGGAGAGGAAACAATGGAGAAAATTCCTACAGGTCAAAAGCAGTGCATGCTACCAGCCTAGGAGGCACCAGTTAAAAGGAAGACTTATAAGCACATTACATGAGTCAATAAATGGAAGTATGACAGCAAAAGCACACAAAATGAATAAAAAATTGCAAAAATTCCAAAGAATTGTTTCAAACAAATGACTGATTGCTAGGTCTACCTATGAAGAGACTTGGGCAAGGAAACAGCTGGTAACTTTCTCTCCCTCTTACAAAAAAAAAAAAAAAAGCAGCTACATTTCAACATTTCAATGTCTAGAATGCCAAAAGTGCAGCCCAGAGCAGCTTCTGCTATCAAGTGTGCACATGATGAAATCGCGTTCCCTTGACAGTGCTTCAGTCCTGGAATGCTCCTATTTCCTGTTTCAACTGCACTGGTGATAAAGCTCACGATGAAAGCAATATTGCCCTGAATATCAGCAGAAGCAGCCAAAAACAATTAAGTAATCTGCAAGTATTACATCAGAAATTAACGACAGTATTGTTCACTTGCTGCATATATTTCTGCTCCTGTTTAAAGCGAGCAGAGGATGGGACTTTCTACCAATTTTGTAGGGAGGCAGCATGAGCAGTCCAAAAGTCTCACTGTAAAAAACCTGTAGCTTGCAACAGTCTCAGTTTGCTCATCTCTCTGGTAATTTGTACTTGGCTCCTACACCTACTGAGCAATGTTAACTCTTTCCTTCATGGCCATTCCACACTTTTCATTTATCTGCCTTACCCAACCAAGTTCTTCCAATAATTGAAAAGATTTCCTGACATTTCTCTAATTTTTCAACAAGTAATGAAATCTTTAAAACAACTACTATGTATTATTTACAGAAGTTTGGCATTATCAAAGAAATCTGATCTTATTCAAATTAGACCTGGAGTACTGTAAAGCTACTGCTGTTTTCCTTTTACCATTGTCATTTCTCTCATTAAAGTACTGAGCTCAGAAAGAAAACATACTTGAGAATAAAGCAGAACACACCAACAGCATTGCTCGATCCCAAGTTGTACCAAAACTCAGTCTCTGCAGACAGAGCCCTCGTGCCGAGCTCCTCCGACAGCATGAGCTGGAGCCTGCCTGTAACAAACTCACTACAGAACACCATCTGGAAAATCAGACTTGGAAAAACTACAGAGGAAAATTCTAGTCACATTCACGTATGCCACATGCATTGTAAGATAAACATTCCAAATTATAACTGTTAGGCTAGCATCATGATGCAATTTATGGTGCCTGTCCACAGAAAAAAATAATCACTCGTTATTGTGCCATCTGAAGACATTAGTAAGGAGACAAGGCAGTGAAAAACAGAGACATCAGTCTGTTTGAGACAGCAGGCAGGTCCTTTTCTGCATTTAATGTAAATATGGATGTCCTGTTGGAAATCAACTTCTTTACTGTGCATCTATCAATTACATTTACAAAGACTGGCAATCAAACACTGCCACTTCGGGTCACAGTAAAAACATTACAACAAAAAGGTGCTTAAATGAAAACAAAAGGCTTCAGCTCCAAGCAGGACCGTAAGGAAAAAAAACAAGTAGATTCTACTTCATAAAAGGGTTATATCTCAATTTATTAAGAGGTTTTAATCAAACAGTATGAACTGATAAGTCTGATGTAACTGATATTCTAACTGCAGAGTACTCACTAGTTTTACAAGTGTCAAAAGTTAACAGTTAATGAAATTTATGCTGTAATATGCTAAAAAAGAAAACAAGTCTGCCAGTTTTATGAGCCTGCAGAACGATTTTCGTGGGGGAAAAGGAGAAGACAAAGTGGACTGTCATATATTAGTAACACTGGATTGTTACGCATCAGTAATACTAAAAGGGAGAAACAAAGACCACCATGACTTTAGTCTATACAAATTTTAACAGAATGTTTGGATTTGATCAGAACATCAGTATTTGCTGCTCAAAAGCAGAGAGCTGAGCCGAAAGGGTCCGATGCCAACAAACACACCAGCCCACGCAGTGCAGCGAGCACACATCTCCAGCGACAGAGGCAAAAGCTCTGTGCTTTGGGCAAGGCTGTGAGTGACCCCGGCAAAGTTCCTGTACCCCAGTGTCTCAGATTCCACCACACGACCTGGGAACCATCCCTCTCACTGAACGTGAAACAGACACTAAAGAAGGGGCTTCCAAAAGGCTGCTCTCAAAACCTTAAACGCAGCCAAATAAAATAGTTTTTTTGCACACAAAACCAAAGCTTTGTGGCCGCGGCGTGAACAAAACCAACGTAACTATGAAAAGTCACGCCTCCACCAGGGATGCAGCCCTTAGGGGTCCCGTCTGTCATGCGAACACCTTGACCCGACAGCCCGGAACTCCTGCGGGGGGACAGCACTACAGTCCAATCCAGTCCTTGGCGCAGCGACAAAGACAATCCTGATGTGTTGCTCCGGACAGGCCCCCGGGCGCAGCCGGGCTCGGGCGGGCCGAGCTGCGAGAGGCGTTTGCCGGAGCAGAGGCCGCCTCGGCCTCCAGGGATGCCCAGATCCAGCATCGCCTCCCGCACTCCGGCCTGGACACACACCGAGGCGCAGCCCGGCGGCACCGCCCGGCCCGGGAAATTACTTATCCTGGACCAATTCCTCCTCCAGACTTCCTACACCCGGGAGCGACAGCACGGGCCCGGCTCCCCCCACCGCCACCGCGAGCCGCGGGGCCGAGCAGCGAGCGCCTCCCGGGGCGGCGCCTCGACGGGACAGACGCCGCGCCGCCCTTACCCGCAGGACGTGGTAGCCCTCGGTGCCGCCGCCGGGGATGTCGATGCTCTGCGAGGCGCCCATGGCCGGGCCGCGCCGTCGCTCCGCGCCCGTCGGGACGTGGCACAGCGGCCGCTCCGCCCCGCGCGGGCGGGACACGACGGCGGCCGCGAGCGGACACGGCCCGCGCCACCTTCCCGGCGGGCGTCGCCCCCTGGCGGGCCGGGGCGGCGGTGCCGCGAGCGGCCCAGGGGGCCCTGAGGGAGCGGGGCTGTTTGTGGGAGCCGGATGTGTCAGCGGGACACGGAGCGTGAGGGAGGCAGCTCCTGCCGCCTTCCCTACTCCCACAGCTTCCCCCGAGCTCCGAGCGATGCGGGGCCGCGCCGGAAGCGCCCGACACCGAGCGGCGGTGGGGCTGAAGCGAAAGGATCAGTGCCCTGGAACAGAGCGGGTCGGGGGGCAATGCTGCCCGGAGGAGGAATTTTGGACTACCCCGTTCCAGGGCACGCATCGCCCCGCAAACTGCAGGAAGATAACGGGGCAGGTTCTCGCTGCCGATGGCGGGGTGGGTGTGCCCGTGTCGGGACAGCCGCGGGCTGCGGGAATGCGCCCCACGCCCAGCAGCAAAATCCAGCACTGAGCCAACACGATGGTGCAGCTGGAGGAGGCGGCCGGTGGGTTGTCCGGCAGCGCTATGCATCTACGGTTCAGACAATCTCTTTCCCTCCGAGAGTGTCCCTTGTGACTGGAAGGCTTTTACACAGCCTGCCCTTGCACACCAGTGCGTCCGAGTTCCTATCCCACACACCTCCAGAGGGGTGACCTCTTTAAGCAATGCTGCTGTCACTGGTCTTCAGAAATGCAGAAACAGCATTTATTAGTGAACTGGAACACAATGTTAAAGATCCTCAATTGAGCACGGAAAGGATATTCAAATTAGCATAATTCACTTCTTTTTGACTCATTTCCCTTTCTAATATCAAAGTGCTTTACTGCTTCATAATAAAAGACTCTATGCACTGTGCCCAGTACTGTCTGCAGAGATGACCAACCACCTTTCCACCCTTGGCCACCTCACTGTGCTCAGGTGTTTCCATCAGAGCAGACAGACAGTGTTTCTCCAGGCACTCTTGTCAGGCATGGCCAGTTCTGGACTCTGCACACCAGTTCAGGCGTGTTTACCTCCCCACGCAGTGTCTCTCCTCACAGCTGCAAGAAGAAATCAACTCTAAGATACCCAGAGGCTGCAATGCAAAGGAAGAAGGCAAAGCGAATAATACGTAAATAGACTATATCTTTCAAGGGGTTTTGTGTTCTTAATACAATATGAGAAATTTGTGATAAGCAAGTTAAAAACTATACCAGCTTAAGTAAATCTTATGCTTCCATGCACATGCCATTTAGATTCAGGAGGAAAATCCCATCCACATTCCTCTCTTTCTTGCTAGTGGAGGTTTATATAGACAACTGTGTTTCCTAAAGGTGCAAGTGGGGAAACAAGGTGACAGAGATTTTGCAGCTCCATGAGTCTGCTCAGACATTAGGCCCTCTGAGACCAGTCAAGTATCACTGCACCAGTAGACAGTTTGTCTTATTCTCACAGGACCAAAGAAAGTTCTTTCCCCCCTTCCTCAGGAGATCTGTAGAAGTTTCATGCCTGCATGTGATGAACTCAGAAATGGGCAGCCATGTTTTGTTCTTCCAACCAGCCACCAAGAAAAAAAATTAACTCTATCACAGCCAGACCCAGGAAAACCACCGAAGTCAACCCTTCAGGGAAATCTGAACCTGACCTCTTACTGGAGACAAAAACTCCATACATCACTTCAAGACCTGAAATTATTTTTCTTAGGAACTTCTACTTTACCACAGCATCTCAGCTTTTCATCAAAATGCTGTCACCCTTTTTAGGCTAGTTCAACCTCAGCAAAGAAAGATGTTCTCTGCAGAAGTCCATCAATTCCCATTAAGGGCTGAACTAAAACACCATATTTATTTGAAGAAATATCTTTGAACTTGGTCCAATGTTCTATGGCAAAAGACTAGTCTGTAAAACAACAAAAAAAAGGAACCCTCTTAGGTGAAAAAGAAAAAACTTACCTGGGAAATAGGGAACAAGATTGCCTGAAAGTATCACTTAAGACCTAATGACAAGAAACCCCATTGGCAGAAATTAACTAACAAATATTACCTACCTGTTCTTTTCTCTGTGTATCTCAGCAGCTGCATTTCAAAAGTAATTAAAGTTAATGAGCTGTGCTTTGTGGTAGAATCGTGAAAACTTAATTGGCATAATTAGTTGCAAAGACAGCAAGTGCATCTTTCTGGCTAACAACATGTCATCATTTGATAAAGAATAATAATGAATTTAATAAATAAATCAGGGCCCTTCTAATATGTTAATAAAATAATGAAGTGGAAGGCACACATGTGCAAATGATGAATTATTAGTTTGGAGACTGCACACAATTGTCTGAGTAAGATGGATGGGGAAGTGGCCTTCTTGAAACTGTCAGCTACGGATGCTGGCTACAATCCAGTTTGTCATAGATGAAGCAGCCACTCTGCCCTTTGCAGAGAACGCGGTGCAAATGCTTCCAGCGGGAGCCACCATCCCTTCTGCAGAGCAGGATATGCAGTGGATGAAGAAAAGCAGCTGCACTTTCTTTTCCCCTCCCTAAACCCTTCTAGATTATTGATGCTGGGCAAACAGGAACAAAAATGGACAGAGAAACCCAGGCATGTGTAGCAGGAAGGGAGCTGCTGAAATGCAGTGTACAAATCAGCCTATTTGACCCAAATCATTTAGAGGCTAAGACAGGCAGAAAATGATGATTTATTGCAGAGACGGTCTTCAGCTCAAACATAGACACACACACCAGAACAAAAGCTTCTGAGACATTATTAAGAATCAGTAAATAGAATAATTTTAATTAATGGGTGCCTTTAAAATTAAATTAAGTGAATACTCCAGAGTTGTGGGAAGGCCCACACTAATAAAAATGACTGTTCCAGTAAGCAAACACTGAAGGAAGGATATAGTTTTAGGCAGAAATAGAACACCAGTGTCCAGTGACTGAGAAGAAGATGGGTCATAAGATAGCTCTTAGTTGTAACATCTTTTATCCCCTAATCAATGTATGACCTCATTCATTCCTGCTATTAATGTATTGCCTAAGATGAGGAATTGCAGGTCAAAATACCTGCTTGTTGACTTTGGTCCCAGCAAAGCAGGACTGGGATGGAAGGAGCCATAAAGAGTCTGCTGTATGTCTAAGTTCAACTCATATGTTAACAGTGTCCAGGAGATTTTTATCTGCTTTGCAAGTACACGGGGAACAAACTACAGCTACTTGGAAGGAATCCACCTGGCTGTATACCCACAATACTTAGAACTTCATATTAGTAGAAGGCATAAAGCACAAACCTCTCAGCTCTACAAAAAAAAAAAAAAAAAAAAAAAAAAAAAAAAAAAAAAAAAAAAAAAAAAAAAAAAAAAAAAAAAAAAAAAAAAAAAAAAAAAAAAAAAAAAAAAAAAAAAAAAAAAAAAAAAAAAAAAAAAAAAAAAAAAAAAAAAAAAAAAAAAAAAAAAGGGTAGCTCTAGCTCACACAAATGGCTGGTAAAAGCCTGCTGACACAGAGAAGCCATACAACCATCCGTTGGGCTGCAGGAGTACTCACACACACTTCCCGCAGTCCTAGTTTAGGAGCAGTTTAGGAGCTTTGGAACTGAGGGTATCTATGAAAAAATAAGTAAGGTGGCAATGGTCAGTGTGGGTGCAAATGTGAGAGACTGAACCTGTTCTTGACCTGCTGCTGGGAACAGCTAGGAAAAGATCAGACCCCATCTGAATGTAAAGAGAAATTAACAGTGAAGCATTTTGAATGGAAGCCAAGCACTAGTGAGCCTCAGACCAAACAAGCGCCTGAAACTCGGCAGGCTGTGATTAAATACTACGGTCTGATGCTCTAAAAGTTAATTAAATACAGGAGTAATGTGGGTCTTTTGTAAAGCTGATTTTATGGCCATTAGTTGTTATGAAGCTAAACAAGGAATGAAGTGCAAGGGAGGCAGGCACTTGCCGGACAAGCTGCTCTCAGGCACAGTCTTCCCAGTGAATGTTGCAGGGCTGGTCCCCGCCCCCCCCCCGGTGCTCCACAAGGCACAAAAAGACCATGCCAAACTCAGAAAGCCTAGTCACGACCACCTGACATTTTTTTACCACTATAAGTATTCATCAATTTTCATTGCATTATTGCTGATTTACACTAATGCTCAAGGAAAGGGCAGCAGTTTCAGTGAGTCAATTAGGAGTGACTTGTATTCAGCCAGGAAAGAGCAGGAGCTTGTAAGCCTCCAGCTGAAAACTCTAACTGGTACTATTGCGACACACAGCAATTTCCTTCTGAGATGGGAGGGAAGGGCCCCAGTGTCAGCAGGATCAGACCTAGCACACTCCATCTCTGTAAGGGGAATGCTCAGGTGGCAGATAGCTGGCAGAATTGCTTTCTGCTTTTCCCCCAGAGCTCCCAGCATGGGCACGTATTAGAGCTGTAGTCAATGTGGTCATGCTCTGGTTATTATCAGGAACAGTTCCTCTGGCTGCTGTAATTTGCACCAAGGACTGCAGATGCCATCAACAGATCAGAGAATTGTAAAGATAATCTACAGCCTTCTTCCCCAAGTGGGTTGAGACCAGAATCAAGGCTGTTGTTTCAGAAACCAGAAACTCAGTAAAACTAATTTGTGGAGGTTCTATTAATAGGACACAGGAAATTAACTAAAGCCTTCATTACTTTAATTCGTAAAAGTGATTGACTTGGCTGTAATACAGTTAAACTGTACCTGTCTTCCCAAAGCTGCTGAAGACCCAGTAGCTCTGAATTAGACCCTGGTAAATAGTTTTCACACAAATCTGGAAGGGGCATAGCTTTGACAATTAAAGATATTATAGCCATAGGTTTCTGACAGAATGCCTTTTTTATACAATTTTTACTTGCTACAGGAGTTTCTTCTGAGACTCTAAAACTGAATGAAAACTCTAAGACTGATTAAACTCCAAAACAGACACCTTCTGCTTCCATAAAGTTTTGAAAATGTGTGCCTGAATACTGGAATGAGCTCAGTAAAATCAATGTCCTCGCT